CCTGAGAGCTCCGCTGGTTTCGAAGTGCCGGCGGGCTTGGGCATCCCCTTTCTCTCTTAGGGGAATTCCTCACCGTGACCGCCAGAAAAAGGATGCCCCCGGCTGCCACCAACACGCTGTGATCAGCAGCAGCTGGATGCAATAATCGCATGCCAATGTGCATTGGCTCGTTTAGTTTACACTCGAAGTAGATTGGTCCCTCTAAGCGAGATCCCAATTTCATCGGTCCTCCGACGTGACGTCGAGAGTGACCGACTGAAAGGGAACTAGTACATTTCAAAGCAGTTGCTATGGAATTAACGGGCCCAAGTCAAAACAAATATTCTGATGCCTAGAAACTATATGACTTATAAAGCACTGCTAATAATTTGGAGATTATGCTTTTGTGTTATAGCATGTGACTAGAAATAGAGGTCTGCGCGGACTGTTTTTTTAGTCCCGCTCCCGCAAGGTTCTATTCCACACCCACCCGCTCCCGCTATATATTCACTCTTTGCTCACCCGCTGTTTGCTTAGAATAATTTTCTTCCCGACCCGACCATTCCCGCTAAATTTAGATCTCGTTTCCAGAATCTCACATTTAAATTTCCGCTACTGAAAGAAAGAGAGATAGGCTGACACATAAAAGTGTAGTCTTCACAAAATTGTATGTTATTTTATTCGTCTTGTCAAGAGTCTTGAATTTATTGACTTTGACTTGAATTTATATGAATTATCTTATCTTAAGACACAACATTTGTTTAATATTTTATGCAACACAGTAGGAAAAAAAGTGTCAGAGAAAATAAAAATGTACAATAATTTAATCTTTTATTTTTTTCCGTCTTGTCAGGATACAATTCGTTTAACATTGACAACACAATAGGGAAAAAGTGTCGCAGAGAGAAAAAAAATAAAAATGTAGGTTGTACAAAAATAGCCTATTAGCTATTTTTATTCATCTTGTCAAAATACAAAATTCGTTTGACATTTTCTGTTAACACAGTAGGAAAAGTGTCGCAGAGAAAAATCAATAAATACACATCTTTCATTTAAAATTATAGGCTAAGCAAAATATAAACAAAACCGAGTTGAACGTCCTTCAAGGACAGCGCATCCACACTTTGCGCCATCCTTAAGGCTGATTTATACTTCTGCGTCGGACCTACGCCGTAGCCTTTACGCCGTAGGCTATGCATCAGTTTTCATTTGTACTTCTGCGTCGTTGTCCACGTCAACATGCAGTACACATGCAAACCGCTAGTCAGCAGTGTCCACGGGCATGTTGCTGGTGTAACCCGCAGTACCCCGGCAAAAGCCGAAGAAGAAGCGGCTCGTCGGAGAAGCAATATAGCCGTGACGGCAGCAAATAAATATCAAATCATTAAATCATTATTTAAAACTACAAAAAGGAGACAACAACGGAACAGGAGATGATGGCATTCTTTCAATCTGCACAAGGACTTGTACCACGGCAGATCAACATTGTTTGTTGCGGACAACTACTGATGTATAATGCTATGTAGTATAATAAAAGATAAGACACTTGTTCTTTGCTTTGTTTTATTTTATATAAGAAGGTGTAACATTAAAATATATTAAAGTGCACACAAACACACACAAAACTCAAGTACATATGGAGGGAGGGGTTCTTGCAGACCAATCACAGCGCTTGCGATCTGCGTAGAATTGACACGCTGTTAGATTTTTGGAGAAGTGCACGTCAGGCTACGGCGTAGGTCCAATGCAGAAGTATAAATCAGCCTTTATTCTGCTCTCTCACTCATCGAAAACCTGTCTGTTCTGTCTGAGGGCCGTATATTTACCACAGGTAGGCCTACAGCCTGCTCTGAGCATTGTTATGCACATGCTACACACAGACCCCGCAAATAAAACGCATGACGTTTAAAGCATGCGTGCAGCGCGTGCATAACAGTCCTGAGCGCAAGCTGTACCGGTGGTAAATAAGAATAAAGCGCAGATATGCTGTTCTAAATGGCCGTCGGGAACGGGATATTGTTAGACCGCCCGCTCCCATTCAAATTACACCAGAGTTACCGACCGCTACCGCGTTTTATTCGGGAATGTAATCCCGCAGCGCAAAAAAATCCGGTCAGGTCCCGCGGTTCCCAAGGGAATGCAGACCTCTAGCTAGTAAAATCCTCATTATTTTATCTAAGCCTTTTCTTGAACTTTCCTTATTAAATCTGTCTGTTCCATCCAGTTCATCGACCCTAATAACCGCCTCCAGATATTGTCTCAGTCACGGCACGTAAGAAGTGACGAGCTGAGAGAGGAGAGAAAAGTTGACCACTGCAGCAGCGGCCGATCAATATCTGCCTCTTAAAGCACCTCTGCAGTTCTGGGAGTTTGATTTTCTTCAGATTGAGAGATTTAGTTGGATTTGAAAAAAGCCTCGAAACTGACAAGGGCAATTAAAAGCCTCTTCACATGTGTGTACAAGGTTTAGATCTTTTGTCATGTTGTGTGACGAGCGGTTCATGACATACGTGATATTTGAAGCAGATCAGAGGTTCATGACATACGTGATATTTGAAGCAGATCAGAGATCAATTGTTTTTATTCAAATACAACATTCTTGTTCTGTGGCTAATTTAAAGCATACTAACTATCCATGTTTTCTGGTTTATTTTATCATGATTAATTAAAATACTGGGCCTGATTATATAACAAATTTATGTGGAACATATTCATACAGAAATAATTATTTTGAAATTACATTGATGATAACATTGAAATAAATTCTGTTCAATTAAAAACAGAATAATAGAGTATAGTATAAATAAAGGAAAAAATGGCTAATTTAAATATATAATATTCTGTATTTTTAATGCAATTTAATATTACTATTATTATTATTATTAACAATAATTAATAGTGGTAGTTGTATCAGTCAATATTCTATATAATAATCTTTAATCTATACTGTAAAAATAATGCTTAAAATTTTCTCATTTATTCAGTATGTTACTTCTCTTTTCTTTGTAATTAATTGTTACATTTACTAACAATTTCTGAGAATTTATTTTTTTTAGGTTGTTTCAAATTGTTTCAAAAATTATTATTTTTTTAAAATAGCTTCAAAATTGTGTTTAACTACAATACATTTTTTTTCATTGTCATTTTTTCATCCCTACTTTAGTAGCTTTTGTATAAATAAATAAATAAATAAAATTCTGATGAAAATCTGAATTATTTTTGTTAAATATTCTATTTCACAGACATTTCACCTAAATTTCATGCACCAAAGCCTGTTCTATATTCTGTTCTACATCTATAATTTTCACACAACCATTTTCCACCAGTATCTGAGCCTTAAATTTAACCTGGCTATTTTTGCTACTGTACTTGTGACACTTCATGTAAATGACCTCTCTTGTGACTGGCTAACCTCTTCATATTTGAAATAGTTCAAACTCTCATTCAAGCCGTGATATTTAAATTTCAAATGTTAATGTGCTCATAGCTTCACATCACAACCATACTAATTTCTAAATGACCCATTGTTGCAGCTCAGCTTCAGTAAATAATCGCTGAGCGAGAGGGTTGTGTTGCGAGCGCTGCCTACATACTGTAGTATCACATCAAAATCTTGTGTTTCAAATAAACAAGACAAATCCTGTTTTCCATGATATGTCCCTTTAAAAGAAGTTCTTTTTTCCTGCGTGGTAAACATCAGACCTCGACTGCATCTGAGCAGCAGGTACACTGAGTGAAGTGTTAGTCAAGCGCAGGATTCTGGAGGAGTCTTTGGAGCGCGTGTGCGCGAAAGTGCATTTGTGTGGAGAGAGGACAGGCTTTAGAGTCAATAACAAGTGGATAGTGACAGGAAGGAGTTCAGCTCGCAGGGGAGACAGAAAAAAAGAGCAGGGCAGAGAGACAGAAAGAGAGCTCAACCTGGAGTCAATAGCAGGAGAACGGTTTAGCTTACTGTGCCACCTGGTTGATGACAGGGGCAAAGTTGGTGGGGCCATAGAGCTGCACTTTCCGGAGACAGTCATAGTATGCCTCCAGCACGCCTTCGATGCCGACGCAGTTTGCATTCTCACAGTCGGAGTTCTACGAGGTCAGAATACACACGTGTTTGAGAAGATCTCACATGAGCAATAACGCCAGTCGTTTCTGACTTATTCATACTGGACTGAGGCATATTTTATATTGTTATATGCTATGTCCAAAGCTAAAAATTCATGACAGCATAGTTTAGCTTTAATAATGAATATCATGTCTGTGTGGTTTGTGCTTTAAAGGGATAGTTCACTCAAAAATGAAAATGTTGTCACTATTTGTTATTCCAAACCTTGTTTAATTCAAAATAAGATATTTGAACTGTTCTTGTTTATACAGTGAAAGTCAACCAGGTCCAATGTTGCCTATTTTAAAAATTTAATTAGGAAGAAAGAAAAAGTCATACAGAGTGAGTAAATGATAACAGACTTTGCATTTTCTTCTTTTAACCATCCAACATTCCTGTTGTGTTATTGTATGTGTGTTTTTAACCCTTTAAAGCCTACTGTATCATATCTGATACACTTTTTTTTTTGTAAATGATCAACATGATCAAAACTGCTCTAAAAACCTGTTGTACACAATCTACTAAACATTTTTAGCAAGTACTTTTAGTATCATTCTTAAACCGTCCACCTTCAGGTTGTGTCTTTTGTCTGTGAAATCTTTACTAATTTAATATAAGTAAATGTAAGAATAATTTTCATATTGTTAGTAATATTTCAAGATGAACACTTACTTGGCTAAAGCAACTTAGGGTTACTTGATTACTCATACATAATTTTTTTTATCATGTTGAAATGTGAGCATCAAATATAATGATAATGCAGGCTTTTGAGGAACGTTTATTTGTACATCTTTCAGTCATAATTACATTGTTGCATTTATTTTACCTCCACAATAAAAACTGCAGCGTTTGATCATAAAACAAAGCATTTAAATATCATCTTACTAAGACATATTATTGGAAAATACAGGTTGACAAAAATGCATTTGCCATAAATGCATTTTATGTAAGTAGTCTGTTATACTGTTATAATGCTTTCATTAATGCACATTACAAGCTATCAGAATTTGATCATATTTTCTGGCTATACAAATATTAGCATTTGCACCAAATTGCATATTTTTGCAGTTTGGGCCTCTAAATAAAATTTAGGTGTTTCTTTCCTATTCATGTATGAGCTCCATATTCTCCTGATGTATTAAATATTATATAAAATATTTTATATTTAGTGTAAAGGTTCAAAAACTATTCCATTAAAAAAAAGATTTTTCTAACTATGATTTCAAATGTCAGGCTTTCCAGGGTTAATGATGGCCCTTTTCAAGCTGTTACTCACCAGGGGGAAAGCATGAGAGATCTTGCCATCAGGAGGGAGTTTAGCTCCAAAGCCGTAGGCAGGGAAGAGTTTGTCACTGTCGTAATCCTGGATGATTTCCCCCACGGCTTTAAGGGCCATGGCATACGCATTCAGCTGATACGGGTTCATGTAGTGGAGCGATGTCGGCTGAGATGGGTTTCCTGCGTTCAGGTATCAATCAATACAAGGTTAGACACAAGAGCAAAGACATCGTGGTCACTCACATCAGTGCCGAGCTCTAAATCTAAAACGGACATGAGACAATCGCATGCCACACAAACACAAATGCTTATGTACTGAAGATGGTCTTACCATTAGAGGCAGTGAAGTCTATGGCTACAGTGAAGTTGAGCTGTGTTCTGTTTTCAACATTGAAAAGAATCACAGTCAAAAGTTTGTAACCAATGTAGTACATACATATGGATACTTAATATGACATGCTATATTACATGTGCAGGGTGTGTAAATATATATACTACGGGTCAAATGTTTTGCGTCAGAACGTTTTTTTTTTTATTAAGATTTTTATTCACTTATTTAAATTGATCAAAAGTGAAAGTAAAGACATTTATTATGTTACAATTTTTTTTAATTCTATTAAAAAATGCAGTTATTTTGAACATTCTATTCATCAAAGAATTTTGAAAAAAAAAAAAAAAAGATCACGAGAGGATCATGTGATACTGAAGACTGAAGACATAATGGCTGTAGTAATGGCTGCTGAAAATTCAGCTTAGCCAGTAAATTACATGTTAAATTATATTAACATAGAAAATATTAAAATGTATCACATTTTTCCAAAACCATTAAAAAAAAAATTAGACTCCAAACTTCTGATTGGTGGTGTATACAAAGGCTACTAGTTAAATTGCTTATTTATTTATTTAGTTATTTATTAATTGCACATTTATTTATTGCAAAAACTTAATTGAAAAACTTCAGAAGATCTTAGAATTTATTTGGTCTCCCTTTTGTTTTAATGACAGCAGCACTCCAGCCGACATGAACAAAACCTAATCCATATTATTCATACTTCAAAGGCAGCAAGACACCTGACCTTTAGTACAAAGGAGTTTGCATACTCAATGTCACACATTTGACTAGTAACCTAGAAATAGTCCAGAGTCCAAATATTATATTCCAAATATCTCCTATTCATTTGAATTAATTTGCATCAAAACTTTTTGGTTTAAATGTTCAAAATACTAATACTTTGTTTATTTCAAGGTTTAAATTTAATTGATTTTCAACATGGAGCTTTTGGATGACACTGTATATGCACATTTTTAATAGTCAAAAAACCTATAAATGCATATTTATAGCAATTTTAATCTTTTAATAATTTAATTTATTTAGCAAATGATCAAAATGTTTCTAACCTAGACATGTTAAATCAATCAATAAATAAAGAAAGAAAGAAATACTCTTGCTTTTGTTTAAAATAAACAAACATATGTTTTTTATCAAGTCAATACATAATTAAAGGCCCAGCTGCAATTAAAAGGCAAACATATGGTATGATATACTGGTGTACTGAATCACTGCCTTGATTTCAGATGTCTGGAAATGAGTATGTGATGATTGCTTTAGATTTTTTTTATTTTTTAACATTTAAAAAAAAATTATTAGGGCTGTCAGTTGATTAAATATGTGCTTCTTACTCATTCTTTACTGCCTGCTCCAAGTAAGCAGGGCTTGGAGAACCAGGTTTCTTGCTGGCTACTTTCAAAAACATGAAGGCTTGAATGCTTCATGGCTCCAGTAATGGAATTTATGTAAGTGACATTGTAAATTTTTGCAGTAAAAATCTTTTTTTTTTTAAATATCACATTAAATTAATACATCATATTGACAGCCCAAATGTTTTACATGATCCCTTAAACTATTTGACCATTACTGGGTTATGCACATATCCAGAACTAGGTTTTAATGCAAAAAAAAATCTCCTATATCCCATACTATGTGTCAGTATTCAACACACATGCTAGTAATGCCTGAAAAAATAAATGGTAAGTGAACTGCCCTAAAGCCTCAATGACACTAAGATCCACTCTGGTTTATTGGCATTGTCTTGAATGCAAGTTATTCAGATCGACTAATCATAATTCCACAAAACATGCACGGCTATTCCATCTGCTCTCTAACCAGTAAATCTGCATCTTCCTCCAGCCTAATTTATCCAGGGACTTTTAAGGGGCACTCACCCGCCTCGAATGAAGTCCACAAATGTATACTCCGATTCCACTTTGAAGGACAAAAGTGTTACCTAAAGAGAGTGAAAGAGAGAGAGAGGAGAGATAATGGAAGTCATTATGAAAATAAATCAGAAGAGGAGAGCGCTTGACAGGTAATCCATTCCCACGTACCGTGCCAGAGTTGACGTATTTCTTTTTCCTCCCTTTCTTCTTGGGATTCAGAACCTGAAAGAAACAAAAAGACACCCATCAAGCATGGCTGAAAGAAATATGACATTTTACTGAAGTGTCCTCATATGTTTTTTTCTCTTATGATGCATGAAACATTTTTGGCACTTCACGAATACAGCCCACGTTGATGTCCCTTAACTTTTTTGGAGGCATCAGAAGCACATTTATATATTTATTTAGCTAAGTTAGATACACAGTTATCGAACATAAAAACTATCATTGCATGAAAATTAACTAGTTTTCAACACATTAAATGTCTGTATCCCCTCCTTTGGCCTGTCTTCACTGTATCTGTTGTACGAAAATAAAAATAAAACAGCAATGAATGAATTTATATTTAAATCACTGTTGTAAAAAACTATTTTAACTAAGTTCTAAAACACAGTATTTACCTGTGTCCCACATTTTTGTATAATTTATACACATACAAACAACACATTCAAAAATAAACCAACTCTTTTGAAATTCTTTTTCACTTTTTAAGATTTGCAAGTCTAATTCTTTACTCAGTTCCTGGTAAGTGTTTTTAAATCGCATCAAAATAACTCTAAAAGTGCTGAAAAATTATGTTTTGCCAGAACTCAGAATCAAAATGCATTCGAACAAAATGTTTTTACCTCATAAACATTGAATTGGCTCTGTCCGCGAGACAGCTCTCTATAGCTGGTCGTAAACTCTCCGATGAAGTCATGACTGAAGAAAAATGAAAGTGTTTACTTGAGCGAGGAATATTTAATGAACATTGCACAAGCGTGCTGAGAAGAAATTATTTTGGCTAATGAAAATTTGAGTTATTCTTGTTATGCAGGATAATTGATGTATTCAGAAACACAATATTTACTACCCACGAGGGGGAACAAAAGCCATGAAGAACAGCGTACCTTCCATCTCTGTCCCAGTCATAAACATCAACCTTCACTGTTCTGGAGAGATTACAAACAAATCAAACCGCACAGCAAGTCAATATCTAAAATGAAGTGCAGACAGCCTGATTTTTCTCAAAAGGCCAGAGTATGACAGCAGCCTGGTGAGTCCACAGAGCCAGTCCAAAATAACACCAGCACCAGCCGCTGCCTCACTCCAGCTGACTTCTGGGATTATTCCGACTGCCAGTTTCCACAGCTCACGGCACCAGCGGCGTCTCGTTTAAACACCTCAAGAGCTCGCTACACAAGTCTGAGAGATGCTTTAAAGGTGCAACTAAAAATCGCTTGCTCTCAAAAAGCATAGACTCCTATCAAATGATTATTTACATGTTACGGACATAAATACAAATGTACTGGCTCTCAGAACGCACCCAAGAATCTAAAGCATATCATATATTATATAGAAATATATCATATCATATATTCATTGTATTAGGGCTGTCAAAATTATGCACTAACACATATTTAAAAATGTTTCAGTTAATTGTTTTTTTTTTGCATTGTTGATGCATTTATTCAATATGATATGATAACTGTATCAGTCTCTTCTGTGTGATTCAACAAACTGCATTTCTTATTTATTAGGGTTATGTCATTACTTGAAATAAAATAAACCTTAACCAAAATAAACTATTGAAAAAACAATTTTTTTTATTCCAGCTAGTTGCCAAGGTACAATTTTTTAACTTTATAAACTTTATAAACTTTAAAGACATATATGTATATAAACAAAAACTACTAAATATTACAAAAACACAACACAATTACTAAAATTCGAAATAAAAATTCAAATGAAAACAGAAAACGTAAAAATAAAACTGATTCAAACTGTTAATAAAAACTATAATAATATCGCAATGATATACTAAAATAACCCTGTTATGGAAAACTTGTTTAGAAACCAAACCCAGATGGGAAGTTTAACAAAAGTCATTTGCATTCTTTATGTGGTGAAATTTAATTATCATCAAACCTCAAGAAGACTAATGCACAGGGTAGCGGCAAAAACATCCGTTATGAAAGATTAAGTCTATAAAGTAGAGAAAGTATAAAGTTTTACAATAATTCTTTCAGATTTGCAATTCACGTGTGTTTTGATGCAGTTGTATTTAAGTATAAAGAACAATAATTACACATTATTTTCTTTTCTTTCCTGAAAGAGGCTTTCTGCCAAACACTCCCTGTAGCTACATGCTATTACAAGGACACAGAGAGACGAAATTGAATATATATACTGTACATAATTTCTGTCATCTGAAATTATATTTATGTGATTTTATGAACTGGCCCACAGCACTGAAACTGAAAAGAGATGGACGGTTTAAAACAGATTTTAACATGGACAGGTCAAAATAGTGAGCCAAAGGCATCACCAAGTCTACAAGGGTTTAGGATTAAATGTGTGAGGGAATCTCACAAAATTATGTCCGAGTCACATTTCACCCCAAAATTGTTTTCTTGTGCATCATTTTCAGGACCATTAAGCGCATTTACACTTTTTTTGTTGTTGTTGCTTTACCGTATATTTCTGCCATATGGACATCAACTTGAGATAGTCACCACTGATAAGCTATTACTAAATATAATGAAAAAAACTTACATTTTCTGTAAAGCTGCTTTGCAACAATTTGCATTGTGAAAAGCGCTATACAAATAAACTTGAATTGAACTGAATTGAATTTACCCCACTGCATAAATAAAGATACACTACTGTTCAAATGTTTGAGGTCAGTAAAATTTATTGTTTCTCCAAGGCTGCATTTATTCAATAAAAAATATAGTAACATTGTGAAATATTATTTCAATTTAGATTAATTGTTTTGTACTTAAATTGATTTTAAAATGTAATAAATTCATGTGATGCACCGCTGAATTGTCAGCTTCATTACTCCAGTCTTCAGTGTCGCGTGATTCTTCAGAAATCATTCTAATATGCTGATTTGCACCTCAAGAAACATTTCTTACTATTATCAAATTTGAAAACAGCTCTGATTGCTTAATATTTTTGAAAAATCATAATACGGTTTATTCAGGATTCTTTGATTAGCAGACAGTTCAAAAGAAGAGCATTTATATTAAAAATAAATATTTTGTAACATTATACAATAAATGTTTTTATTGTCACTTTTGATCAATTTAATGCATCCTTGCTGAATAAATGTGTTCAAAAAATGAAAAAAAAGTCCTACTGACGCCAAACATTTGTACAGTGTATATTGTATATACATCATTCTCATTTTTGTAAAACATTTTCACTGTATTATTTAAAACCAACAAAATTAGTACTTCCATGATGTTCGAATACTTTAATAAATCACATAATATATATTATTATATCATTATATTTTATTATTAATTATGTATTTGTTTGTTTTAGCAATAATATGAATTGGGGCACAAAATATGCTTATTATCATAAAAAATAATGCCCTATAAGCTTCGTTTCCTTTAAACAAAATGTAAGGTTTTATTTTATTTTAATCAACAAGTAGCAAATTAATGTGCAAAAATACTTTAATAATAGATCAATATTTTAATATATCAAATAAAATATATCTATCATTTATTTATTTGTTGTTTGCATAACAGTAATGTGAATTGGGCAGGAAAATGCTAATTATCTTAAAAATAATGTAATGCAAAATAAATCTTAATGATCCTACAAACTTCCTTTTCTTTAAACAAAATGTAATGTTTGATTTTTTTTTTTTAAATCAACAGGGTAAATTAAAGTGCAACAAATACTTCAATGAACCATATATATTTTAACCTTTTAAACAAAATATATAATTTTCACAATTATTTTATTCATATTTTGCATAGCAGTGATGTGAACTGAAGTCCTACAAGCTTCCTTTACTTTAAGCAAAATGTATTTTATACATTTTTATTCTGATTTTGCTATGGAAATTTGCCCCGTGATAAAATATCACGTACTTGACAGTTTTCATGAGATTCACTCGTTCACTCTTGAGCGACCACAGAGAGAGATCCATGGTGGATTAACTTGATAAATCTAGATATTCATTCCTTTTTCTGGCTCTCTGTGCCTAATCTTAGCAAAAAAAGAAAAAAAGAAAAACCCCTTCACCTCTGATATTTAAATACAATGCCTTAGGCATTCAGCTTGATGAAAGACTGTAGAGTCAGACTAAGTGTGTGTGCATGAGGATAGTTTTGTACTGACCCGACAATTGCTGAGTTCCTCAGCTGTGAAGATAATGCTCCCGCATTTCTTCCCAGGAATGCCCCTTGAGAAAAGATAGATGAATGCTTTTAAACTTTCAATAAAATGTGGGGTAACGTTTTTAAAGACAAGAGTTCAAGTCAACCCCTCATGAAGACTGGCACAGTTCTAAGTGCACTGCGAGCCCACTCAAAATCAGGACAAATAAGACAACTCCATTTTTGTGTGCTTTTTACAGAGTTGCTCGAGCACTTTTTGCTGCTAAGAGCTTTCTGCGGAACAATTCGATTGCACTGCCGGTAATGGTGGGCCACTTCAGTCGCTGAATAGCCCACATTGAACCTCTGAAAAGAACATGATTCACCTGAAAAGAGGGAAAGTGTAGGGAATGAGGGGGAAAAGGTGATGAGGGTTAGCTAGAAAAAAGATTAAAGGCTGAAGACTGAAAGACTGTGTGAGGGGAAAGAGAGAGACTCTGAGTGAAAGAGAGGAAGCAGCAAAAATTAAGTGATGGAACATAAACGCAACGAAAGACGCTGAACACAGTTTGATTTTGGAAGTTAATAAGTGAAGTTCACAAACCATTTTGCATTCGTGAACTGACATATTTCTGAGTGAAAGAGGATATTCAATGGTTAAAATAATTATGATTTTTATTTTAAATATTTTTTGAAAGAAGTCTCTTATGCTCACCAAGGCTGCATTTATTTGATCTAAAATATATTAGAAACACTAAAAATTTGATATATTTACTGTTTAAATATATATTAAAATATACTTTATTCAGCAAGGAAGTGACAGTAAGACATTTATAATGTTACAAAAGATTTCTATTTCAAATAAGTGCTGTTCTTTTGAACTTTCTATTCATCAAAGAAACTAATAAGTAGCATTTTCAACATAGATAATAATAAGAACCATCACTGAAAACTGAGCACCAATAATTGATATTAACTGAGAAGCAAATCAGCAAATTAGAATAATTTCTGAAGGATCATGTGACGCTGAAGACTGGAGTAATGATGCTGAAAATTCAGCTTTGCAATATCAAAAATAAATTATATTATGTATATATTACAATAGAAAACATTTTACATTGTAATACTATTTTAGAGTATAATTAGTTTTACTGTATTTTTTATCAAATACATATAGCCTTGGTGAGAATAAGAGGCTTCTTTCAAAAACAAAACAAAAAAATTTATTAATTATTCCAAACTTTTGACTTGTATATCTATAAGGAATTGATAGGTTTATGAAAACCAAGTGGTGAAAAATAGAGGTTGGTGACATCAGCTGGAAAGGAAAATTTTTTTTTATAACATGCAGCGATGAATTGCTCAAAATAACATTAGGAACATCCATTAAGAAGGCAAACAGAGTGAATGTTGAAGTGGAAATGAGGCTTATGCACAAAACATATCCAATATATACTGAAGTCTGGGTAGTCTAGTACATTAGTCAGAAAATTATAAAATGAGATGATTGTTTCCAGCTCCAAAGGTCTGTCTCCATGGCCACAGACTCTCTTTCATCATTTTTGAACCCCATTCTAAGTGGTCTCATCTTTGCATTTGACTGGCTAAAATCGGATTCCCATGGGAACAAATATCAGCGCAACAGCTGAGTGGCAGGTTAGCTTGATACTTTAGTACAGCTTTTGACCCTCCATCTATTCACACACACATACGTGCATAAACTCACAATACCATGCACACCTGACCACCTGCAGGCTAGAAATCCAGTTAAAGCTCAATGATGCCAAATAGGAATTTAGACTGAAGGACATCTAAGACAGGCAAGCGTCCCACCACACTTATCATCTCCCCCCTCCTGAGACACATGTCAGATCCAGACATGCAGGTAAGATTCAGTGAGGCGGATCTGCCATGGAGAAGGCTAGAGGTGGCATGGAGGCTGAAAAAGACTCTTTGCAGTGGGAAGTGTTTTATCAAGTTATCTCCAGTCGGCTGAGCTGTAATGAATGTAATTACATAATAGTTAAAAAAAAAATACATTGCTGCATATTACTGTCTTGCCAATTTCACACTGCAATCTGGAGAAAATAAATAAATAAAACACCAAGAGGATCCCTCTACAAAACTGATGCCTTTTGTGTCCATAATTAATGTGTAAATAATGATTAATAATAGTTATTATTAACTATAATAATAGTTAATAATATAATGAGTTAGCTAACGCCAATTTTGGTTTTATGATATTACACATTTTCATTAACAAATAACCAACAAATTTAGTAACTTTATTATATTTTTTCTTTTTCATATTTCCTTTTTTTTTAGATCTTGATACCTACATCAAAATAAAAACTATATATTGTTTTATATATTACATGCCATCTAATCAAATGATGTAGCACTGAATAAATCAAACTTTTGTGTAAATATGTATAGAAATATATTTAAACATGCATATACTGTATTTATATACACTATGGTTCAAAAGTTTGGTGTCATTAAGATTTATTTTTTTTTTTTTAAATCAGCAAGGATGCATTAAATTGATCAAAAGTAAACACTCTTATATTGTTACAAAAATCTTTAGTCTTTTTTTTCTTAATTCATCATAGAATTTTGTGATTTCCACAAAAATAATAAGCAGCACAATTGTTTTCAACACTGATAATTAAATAAAAAATGATTTCTGAAGGAACATATGACTGGAGTAGTGGCTGATAAAAAATTGGCTTTGCATCACAGGAATAAATTACATCTTAAAATGTATTTACATAAACAGTTTTTATTATTTAAACAGTAATAATATTTCACAGAATTTCTGTTTTACTGTATTTTTGATCAAATAAATGCAGCCTTGGTGATAAGAGGTAAGAAGTATAAGACAGTTCATAGAGAAATTTTATATAGAGAGAGAGAGATTACGATCAACCATTTCACTTTTGGAAAAGTATTACAGTATCATATAGAAATCATTTCAAAAGTAGTTTTGAAATGCAAAATCTTCACAGAATGACCTAAGATCACAAATGCAACATCTAAAGTAGAGAATAAACAATACCGGACTAAAACGCAAGCTACTTAGGGAGTTTGAGAGTCCAAGGACACCACTAGAGGATGTTTTGCTGTACAAACATAAAGACCAAGTAGGAGAGAGTTCAGCTTGTCTGAAGAGTTCACGTCTTGCCCCAGGCATCAACTCATCATGCTCAAGGTCACACATGGCTCATCATAACCGTAGACTCTCTCATTACTCAGTACCAGCGAATGTATAACTCAAGACAGCTGTCAGTGTCACTAACTCTCGGCATTCACTTTCCCGCTGCTATGGAAACAACTTATAAAGGTGAGCCGAAGAGGTTTTCAATCCCAACTTCTGCAGCGAATGAGGGCTCCATCACTGCTACCATGCACAAAAGAACAGGAAGTGCCACTAGTGTAAGTAATACTGCAGTCTACAGAAAGGAAAAGAATGAGAGCTAAAGAAAAAAAAATTTTAATCACTGACTGACAGGCGGGAAATGAATAAGGGAAAAAATTAATAACATTTAATGAATGACATTTAACATTTCGAGAAGATACGTCTTTGGATTAAGAGTTATTGCACTCAAATACCTCGCTTTCAGTTAAACCGCATTGTGGTATGAAACTGTTCATGGTCACAGGAGAACAATACACTCTTTTCCAGCTGGGCTGTCACCTCTCTAACACAGCATATCTGACAGACAGGAAAAAGGATCTCAACATTTTATCGGAGAGCTTCAAACCCCTCCCCACTTTACTGTTTCAGTGCCAAAAACATCCTCCCTGCATGCTTAATCAGAGTCCTCGGCAGCCTGGATAAATCTGGGCAGCATTAGAACTGAGACGCCGAGTCCCTCTTACAGGACACAGATATCCAGCGCTGCTGTATGTATGTCATGAGCACACCAAGAGATCCTTCAAAAGCACAAAAATATCATTCCAGTACAAATTTGTTATTCAAATTAGTAGTGTATTCAAATGTGTGTGTGTGTGTACGCGTTTTTGTGACAAATGAGGACATAAATTTGTATAATGACAAAGGTATGACATAGGTATTACAAAGAGAAGGTGACTTTTCAGAACATTACCCCATGTCCCCACTTTTCAAAACGCTTATAAATCACACAGAATGGAGTGTATTGAAAATCTGAAATAGCACAAAGTCTCCTGTAAGGGGTAGGTTTAGGGGTAGGGTTGGTAAAGGGCAATAGAATATATAGTCTGTACAGTATAAAAACCATTACGCCTATGGGATGTCCCCACTTTTCACAAATGTAAACCTGTGTGTGTGTGTGTGTGTGTGTGTATATAGAGTAAAATTAATTATTATTAATAATGGTAAGGAAGGCAACCATCGTTACACTGTAAATTATTTAATCTTTATTATATTATTAATAGTATTAACTAAAACTATTAAAAATCATCTGTGATTGAAATAAAGTTGCAACAAAGTTTAAATATTAGAAGGACAGTTAAAGTACTAAAATTACTATAACAAGCTTAAAATTACTTTAAAAACTGAAATAATAAATTAAAGCTATATAGAAATATATTAAAAACGTTCAAAAAAAGGAAACTGAAAATCCAAAACTAAAGGCTAATTCAAAATTCTTATAAATACTATAATATATAAATAATATTAAAATAATGCTGATGTCATCATATGAAAACAGCATTTGACGCTTCCGTAAGCATGACTCTTATTATGGTCTCTAAATATGGCAACTTTAAAGGTATAATTCACGCAAAAATTTATCAAATTTTGTCATCATTTACTCACCCTTATGTTGTTCCAAATCTGTATGAATTTTTTTTTTCATCTGTTGAAAACAACAGAAGATATTTTGAAGAATGTTGGTAACCAAACTGAAGCTGGTAAAAAAATATATATACACTGAACAAAATTATAAATGCAACACTTTTGTTTTTGCCCCCATTTTTCATGAGCTGATCTCAAAGATCTAAGACTTTTTCTATGTACACAAAAGGCCTATTTCTCTCAAATATTGTTCACAAATCTGTCTAAATCTGTGTTAGTGAGCACTTCTCCTTTGCCGAGATAATC